CTGAAGAGTTTTAGATGGAATTCACAAAATGGCAGACTTCCCACCTGTTTTTGGTGATTTTGGGGTGTTGTATAGCTATTTGAAAGCATACTGTCTCTCTCCCAGCTGTCTTCCTGGATGTTGAAAATAAGCTGCAATCTCCTAGTTTCCCTTGTCACTTACAGCAGACTTTTATGCTGCGTAATAAGAATGAATAGTACACTGCTGTTCTTCTTGAAAGACTGATGAAACTATCCCTGGAGAAGAGATCCAGATTTTTTTTTTTTTTTTTAAATTTACTTTTAAGTCTTACTCCAAAGGAGTAAACAAGGAAAGAATATACATTGCTGAGTTTCTTTACCTTGCCAATCTCTTCTGGATTTATATCTGTCAGAGCACTGCGCATTCCCTGAGAATAAATTTAGGAGTTTTGTGCCTTAAGAAAATGAGAAAGGGCAGGTTGATAGGATGCCAAAAGAAAGAGTAGTGGTAGAAGTAGTTTGTTTTGCAACCACCTAAGAAAAAAGTAATACATGAAGTTCATGAGCAGATGTACCAGCTAGAGTAATTTGAATGTCAAGTTTAAGGGCATGATTTTTCAATAGCACATTTTATTCTAATGTATAATTAAAAACCCATAGATGTTGATGTGCTTTTCTACGAACTACAGCACCTTTAAGTTAAGCATGTAATATATAACCAACAATGAACAAGAATACTGTCAAAATTATTTCTTGTTCATAACGACCAAATATATTCACTGTACACTGAAATGAAAAGAAACTGTATCACTACAAAATACAAACATATTCATAAGCATCATCGTGCTTTGGGAGTGATTTATTCCACTTAAAAAGCAGCCAGAACTTAAATACTGATACTGCATTTTATGTTGAAATATCAGACCATTTATCAATTTTTTTAATGTAATTGCTGCATGACAAAGCAAGAGGAGGAAAAAGTGTTTCCATCAAAAAAAATAATTCAGTAGGCTCAATATTTCTTTCAGAAATCAAAAATCTGAGGAAGAAGTTGACTTTATCTGCTTTCGGTCACAATCTGCCTGGAGTTTTCACAAGTATGGTACATCTTTATCAACGACATCAACGATGCAATGGAGTGCACCCTCAGCAAGTTTGCTGATGGCACCAAGCTGAGTGGTATGGTTGACACAGTGGAAGGAAAGGATGCCATTCAGAGGGACCTCAACAGGCTAGAAAGGTGGGCCTGAGTGAACCTGATGAGGTTCAACAATGCAAAGTGCAAAGTTTTGCACTTGGGCTGGAGGAATCCTAGGCATCCATATAGACTGGAAGGAGTGATCCTTGAGAGCAGCCCTGCAGAGAACGATTTGGGGGTCTTGACAGATGAAAAGTTTAACGTGAATCAGCAGTGTGCTCTTGCAGCTCAAAAAGCAAATGGTATTCTGGACTCCATCAGAAGAGGGTGACCAGCAGGGACAGGGACGTGATTTCCCCCTCTACTCTGCCTTTGTGAGGCCCCATCTGGAGTACTGTGTCCAGGTCTGGAACCCCCAGTACAAAAAAAACAGAGAGCTGTTGGAGAGGGTCCAGAGGAGAAATTCAAAGATGTTCAGGGGACTGGAACAGCTGGGACAAAGACAGGCTGAGGGAGCTGGGCTTGTTCAGCCTGGGGAAAAGAAGGCTGCAGGGTGACCTCATTGTAGCCTTTCAATACCTAAAAGGAGCCTATAAACAGGAAGGAAATCAACTCTTTGAAAGAGTAGATAACAGCAGGACAAGGGGAAATGGTTTTAATTTGAGGGAGGGGAGAATTAGGTTGGATGTCAGGAGGAAGTTCTTTCCAGAGAGAGTGGTGAGGTGCTGGAACAGGCTGCCCAGAGAGGTTGTGGATGCCCCATCCCTGTAGGTGTTCAGGGCCAGATTGGATGGGGCCCTGGGCAGCCTGGTCTAGTATTAAATGGGGAGGTTGGTGGTCCTGCCTGTGGCAGGGGGTTTGGAGATTTATGATCCTTGAGGTCCCTTCCAACCCAGGCCATTCTGTGTGACTAACCGCTCCAGGTTTTCTAGTGTTCATCTGCCTCAAAGTATGACAGCCCAGTTTAACATCATCCTCTTATTTTTGGACTGTTTTGTCTTTTTGATGAGTGGTAACACTAATGTTTCAGTGTTTTCTCATAATTCAGCTTACTATCTTCTAAGGTACAAGATCTTCGTAAAAATCCAAACTGTAGCTTAAAACTGTTTGTCTTTCACATTACTAATGTTATTTACCTGTACCCTATTCTAAAAGGAATTTTAAACGGGAGGAAACATTTCTAGACATTCATTAAAGAGATTGCATTACCTGAATTATTTTTGTTCCCAACAGTTACAACCAAATTTTCTTAAACAGAAAACTGAACTCTCTTCAAAGCAGTGATCTGTTTTGCTTTTCTTCTCATTAAGAAAATTAGAGTTATTCTAAATGAGTTCTTATACTTGTGTTTCCTTTTATTTCATTATGTCAATTTGCAGTCTTAATTCCAAAGATCAGTCTTTGGAATCTGTGTGCGCTAACAATTTCTCTTTTAAAGGTGACATCAGTGAGAACACTTGAAGCATATTGAACAAAGATTGAAATGACAGCTTTTGTTTCTGAGACATACCCCTTAGTGCAATTCCAGTTACACTCTTGTAAAGTTGGATCCTCCATTATACTATCTTTTTTTTTTTTTTTTTTTCAAACCATCTCACCTTTAGTGTAGAACTGTGGAAGAAGTGTTATAGTTCTTTTTATCTGTTTGAAGATTTGAGACTATTATAAGTCTTTTACTAATATTAACATAGAGACCTTACCCACATATTTTAAAGGGCAATTCCTTGAATGAATGAAAGAATACAGATATTTCAGATCAGGGACTTGATCCTGACATCCAACATCTTCTGTGACTTTGATGACTGTAAGGCCATCAGTTATCCTGGATTCTTAAACTGCTCATTGTGCTGAGGAAACACTGCTCATCTATAGAGGCATCTTCAAGACCCATAGGTTAATCTATACCAGTAAATTAAACAACTTCAGGAAAAAACAGTGTTCAGAGCTCTCCTGGATAGGTTTGTGTATTGTCTTGAAAAACTCTGAGGCATGATTTGGGTGTTAGCACCATGCAAAGACTCTTACCAATTGAAAGCTTTCAATATATTTGTTCTATTCAGGAGAAAAGAATGATTTTAAGATGTGGATTTAACCAAATACAACCCATTTTTTAAAATCATATCATTGATTTATTCACTGTTGTGAGCACCATCTTGACTAGATTGTGAAAAATGAGGGATCTTTGACATCCAGTATCTTCCTTTGGACATTAGCAGTTATGGTGTCAGTGATTATTTCTACAGAAGAGAGTCTCAAACCACTTGCATGGCCCAGTAGTACAAATTTCATTCTTATCTGTTTATATTTATTTCCAATAAATCTGTGCAAATTATTAGTAATTTGAAAAGAAAAATGCAGATGAATCTCTGGACAAACTTAAACGAGACTTCTGAAAAAAAAATTGAAGAAGTAAAATGTATAGTATTAGAGTACTTTAAATTCTTGTCTACAAGTTTGCTTGGGGTGCAGTCCATTTCAGCAGTAGTAAGATTACTTTAATTAAAGGATTTTTCTACTAACTAAATGAAGTATCCAACATGCCCAATCAATTCCTGCCAATATGATTGCTCTACACAGAAAGAAAGTTAGTAATTAATTACAGGGAGCTTCTTCAAGGACTATTGGTCTACTGTGTAAAACTTGACAAACTGCTGACAAGGATTGTTTCAATGTCATAAGCTGTATTGTTTACATGGACTGTTGTAGATAAAAAATGTTTTTTTCTCCTTTCAGAGAAAAATAATTGTAGTTCATTTTATTTTTCTTTACAACAAGATCAAATAAGTCTGCTATCTATTCACTAAAATAACTACATTTTATAACCTTTCATTCTCTCATGTTTTCCTTTAAATCAAATATGTATTTTCCCTCTAGTTATCCAAAGTGTATTTTACATATGAACAGATAAAAAGAGTAATTAAAAATCACATATGGGTGCATATACTAAGTTTCTGTAAAGACTCCCATAAAGAGTATGAAAACAAAAATTAAGTGCTTTTATTGCTTTTTAAATAAATGTGCTGCATTTGACAGCTGAGAATGCTGTACCACTTTGTTTTCACTAAGATAAGTCTTCTCCAAATATGATATAAATGTTAATGGAAAGGCTGCAGCTGTACTGTTGATAATTTATAAACACAATTAAGAACAATTAGATGTGAAACTGCAATGGCCCTTGTGGTTGCAGATGCTGTGTAATTCAGAATTGCATAGTCCTGCCAAATTATCACTGAATTGTCCTTCCTTCTTTCAGTCTCAGACACAAATGATATAAACATGTACAAATAAGAAATATTAAAGAAAAATAATGGATTATTTGCTTTTTATTAATAGAAAAAAAAAAAAAAAAAAAAAAAAAAAAGGAAAAAAAGTAAGACTCACTAAATTGTAAAGATCTTCTTACAGTGGAATCCCATGAAGGAAAAAATATTGCCCTGAAAGTAAGATGTGACTCCAGCAACAACTGAATATTGAAATCCCCTCTATTTGAACCCAGATATAACTCTGTGTTTAGCAAGATTAAATTATTATGTTTAATAGATTGTAATACTTCTGTTTGAGAAACTATGTTGTACAGGATAAGCCTTAGTATTACCTCAAAAGCCTCGAAGTGTTCTAGTGAAATATCATTGCTATTAACAAAACTATAGTTTTGGTTAAAATGCTAATAAAAACTAACCTAATACAGAACTAATAAAAGTAATCCATAAAACCAACAAGGTCAAAGTGAAAAGGCAGGCTGATAGTTACAACTGCTTATGGTTCTTTTTCAGTGGCATTCAGTACGTTTGTAATCTGCTTCCTCTGTATACTCTTACCATTTAAACAATTTGATTTTATTACCTTAGGTAGTGAAGTATTAGGTATTACTAATCTAATACATACTTACCTGTGAAACCACGAGGACACAAGCATTGAAACAAAGGTTGCTCTCCCAGTTGGCTCATATTGATGCAAGTAGATCCATTAGAACAATTGTTTGGGTAAATTAAACATGCATTTTCAGCAACTTGGCAAAATTCTCCAGTCCAGCCAGGTGCACAGAGACACTAGATATTAAGAAATTAGTATTAGAGTTAAAAACACCACCACCACCTGAAACACGAAATGGAAATACAGTGTGTTCGTAGAAGTTTGTCGTCTCTGTCACCACAGATTAAAAGTACAATAAAATACAGTAAAAATACAGCTTAAAATATTTTCCATTATTTTGGAATGTCAAAAGAGTTTCAACATCTACCATATTGAAAAAGTGTAGGAAAAGGAGGCACATGAGTAGGAGAAAATGGAAAAGGTGAATTACTTACAGTAATGATAGAACCACAGAAAGAGAATTTAATGTGAAAGTCTTCTAAGGTAAACAGGTGAGAGTCAAAGCAGGCTCTGGGGAGGAGGGTTTAATTTACAAATAAATATAGATAAAGAACTTAATTTACAAAAATAAGGAGTTAGAACATCAGAACAAACAGATAATTAATATTCCAAGAATTGCCGTTAGTTGTAATTTTCTGTTACTCCTAATAATTTGGAAACACAATGTCGCAATATGATAATCATACTAGGAGATCATTGAGAGTGACTAACAGCAAGCAGTATAGAGAAGTCTTTAAAAAGAGAAAACAACATTATCTGTTGGAAAAGTCTTTTTCTTGAATATCCTTCAAGGACCAAGACACAACATTTAAAAAACAGCAGAAGACAGTGGCTTGTACTGTAAAATAAAACAAACAACTAAAAAAAAAAAGCACTGAAAAGATTTTATTGGAATACCAGATTATATTAGCTTCTGAAAACTGTCCTGTGCAACCTTCAAATTTCAAGTGCCTTGATTAGTATATAAGTAATATTTGCTTCCCTTCAATCCAAATATAAGGAGAATAAAGCAGTATAAACAATAGAATAATGATATTTTAATACTGTGAGAGATATATATTTTGCATTAGTATGTACACAGTGTGACCAGCAAAGGGGCAGAGGTGTGTGCAGCTGCACATCATCCAAGTAACAAAATGCTCCCAAAGGACAACGGCATTGAAAATGCAAAGAATATGAATACAGAAGAATAACAAGCAAAATACAAAAAAGCCCTAATGCAAATTACGTTAAAAGAAGTCTCCTTCCCTTCCTCTGCCTCCTTCCCCACCCCCTCCCACTCCCTTTCCTCCACCATAAAGGAGCAAAGTATCACAAATCATTAAGTCTGAAGAGCAAAGAGGGATTAAAAAGAAGTGAACAGCCTGATTCAGTAATGATTTCTCTCAAAACGCTCCTGAAACTGATAACCTTGATCTCAAACCAGTAACGGCCAAGGAACTTAGCCACCTACACAGACTCTAGGCATCTTCACTAAATTAACCGCAAGTGTTAAAGAATAACAATTTCTTTAGCTACTAGAATGGCTGGAAGGCATATCTCTATAAGGAGAGGATGAGGACACTGCCTAGTTTAGAGAATTGGAGGCCAATATGTAACTTTATTGTTCTTCACAATTTCCAGAAGAAGGAAAATAAGAGGCATTTGGATAATGCTATCATTAATATGCTTTAACTTTTTTTTTTTTTTTTTTTTTTTTTTAAGCTTGGATTGGCTACATTTGGGCTTCATGCCCTTTTTAGTTCCATTTGAACTACTCTATTGTCATATTATAGATATAAGAAAGTGAAGTGGAATGTTTTAGTTAACTGTATTGATTGCCACATCTACCTCTGTCATTAAGTAGACAAACCTTCCCCAAATAAACCTATGAAAACATTATTTTGTATGTTAACATGTTTTAAACCCCTAGAATTCCAGAATAACTTAGGTTGAGATAGAATTTTGGAAGTCATTTAGTCCAACCTCTTTCTCAAAGCAGGATCAACTTAAAAGTTTAATCTGGTTACTCAGGATCATGTCTTGTTGAGAAGAGCTCTGAAGAACTCTGAGGATGGCAATTCCACAGTGTTTCTGGGTAGCTTGCAACAGTGCTAAACTATACTCACTGTGAACAATTTCCTCTTAAAACCTACTCAGAATTTTCCTCATTGCAACATGTGAAAATTCCATTGCTATGCACTTCTGACAAAAGTTTTCCTTCATCTTGCTTATCATCACCCAAAAGGCAACTGAAGAAGAGAATTATAACTCTCATTCAGCTGTTTGTTTTCAAGGCTAAACAAATCCTTCAGCCTTTCCTCGTACATCATGTGCTACGATACTTTGACAATGATTATGGCTTTCAGCAGGCCTTGCTCTAATTTATCAGGTTTTTTGGAGGGTGCTTTCCTAGCCGTTCCAAGCTTTTCAGGTTTGACTCGGTCCCGGGAACTCTCTCTCTCATCTTGTCTGATTTATTAATCTCAATTGCAATTAAATTGTATTATATTTTGATATCTTGTTTTCCGTTATTACAGTAAAATAACTTTTCCTCCATAGATTGTTGCCGCTGCTCTTTTCCTCCCTTTCTTCCTTACCATTTTTGTGGCACTGGGGTGAAGGGGGAGGGCAGAGGCCTGTCGCCCCTGTCACGAACGTAGATTGATCTGGTCAACTCCGTGACACCATGAAATGGTAGAGTTCTCGATTCCTGGTGGAGTCACGACAGGGAACAGCAAAACTGCTACTTCGGTCTTCCGAAGGGCAGACTTTGAATTTTTTAGAAGACTAGCAGGGGGAGTCCCCTGGGATTCAGTCTTAGAGAGTAAAGGGATCCAAGACAGCTGGTCGCTCTTCAAGAAAGAAAGCCTTAAAGGTGCAGGAGCTGGCTGTCTCCCTGAACCACAAAATGAGCCAGCAGGGAACAAGACCAGCTGGATGAATAGGAGCTATTCATGAGGCTCTGGGAGAAAAAGAGAATCTACCTCCTGTGGAAGAAGGGACAGGTGACTCAGAAAGGGTACAGAGAAGTTGTTAAGATGTGTAGAGAGAAAATCAGAAGGCAAAAGCCCACCTTGAACTCAACCTGGCCGGTTGAAAGGAACTTCATTCAACAGTGGGCATACATTACCCTTTTTATTTTTTCCTGCTGCTGGAGGTACTCTGTAGAGAAATTAATATTCAGAAACTGAATCACTGTTTCCATGTTGTACCTGAATTGTGTTGAGGATAACTCAAGGACTTGTCTTACAGATGCTTAAGCCAGTACTTTCCAGCAATGTTAAACCATATTTTTAAGCTGAACTGAAATCACCCTGATAACAGACGGGTACTTCTGTGGTAAGACAGTATAATAGTATAATATAATATATTAACAGCATAAATAATATAACAGTATAATATAATAATAATTTTTATTTTTTTTCCCTCCCTTTGTCAGTTTCAATTGCTTAGTAAGATGAGTTTAAAGAAGGTGGGTTTTTTTTCCCTATTTCTTCAGCAAATGCTTTTAACTCCAACCCAACTCAAAACATAGATCAAGCCACCAAGCTAGGTATGAATATTTTCATTTTTTTGTATGTTTTACATACACTTATGCCATTTTCCAATATCCTCATTTTTCTTTTCTCTTCCCCAACCCCCCTTCCAAATTCATGCCACAAATACAGTATGAATGATATGCATTTTCATACTGCTCTTTATTTTCTTTTTCCTACAGTTATTCTCAACACAAGGAAATGGAGCTACTTGTTTATGAGGAAATTTAAACAACTCAGCACATACCATTTTGGCAAGTGACAGGAAAGAAATACTCATTTTCTATGTAAATGCAGTCGTGACAATTGTTACTCTGAAAAGAGAAATCTTTATCTAACTATCAGGAAAAATATCTACTTGCAATCTTTTCAGTATGTGAAGTTAATTCCTCAGTCACTCAAAATGGGAAGATAACTGCGAGGAACATGGAAAAATAATGCATAGTTAGCAAACTTCACTAATTAGTGAACTGGATTGAGGGAGCTATTCATAGACATCTCCTTAATCACTTCCTTCCAATCTTTCTTTTTAAATGAAATAGACGGTTATTATTTATTTGCCTTCAAACTGTGTACAGAAGTTATAAAGAGAATATTTCTATAGCTGTAAAAAAGTTCAGCCAGGCAAGACCTGGCTGAAGACTAAAAACTCCATAACACTAATTATCCTACGATAAACGTGAATAACTTTTTAAGATAAAAAGAGAAAAGGAACTCATTGCGACTTAGCATACCTGTCATTTTAGGCAGTGGAATTGTTTTGCAAAATATTCTGATGAAAAGAAAAAACAGAGGAAAAAACCCAGGAAGGTTTTAAAGTTAGCTTCCACGTTCTTATAAATTTTACTCTAACATGCTGTTTAAAACAGTATGAGTTGCATCTTGGGCATCCCACTCAACAAATCCCTTGGTATTAGAGTTTTGGAAGCTTTCTCCCTGAATTCCAAGGGTACAAATTCTATTTCAAATGGTTCTGGGGTAAGAAGATCTGATTTCTTCTCCCTATTCACAGACAGCAAGGATTCAGTGAAGATTATTTTGTTTGGTTTCTCTTTATCTAAGTAGAAAGATATCCAAGTTGTCAGCATACATAAATAGAAGTTTCCTACATCCTTTTAATGGTATAAGATACCCCAATTCCTGGAGGCATTCAAGGCCAGGCTAGGGGTGGCTTTGGGCAGCCTGGTCTAGTGGTTGGCAACCCTGAACATAGCACAGGGGTTGAAACAGGGGTCCTTTTCAACCCAGGCCATTCTAAGATTCTATGACAAGAGGCTTTATTGCAGTATTAATTCTTGATGGCTGCTAAGCATCTCCATTACTTGTTTGATCCCAGGTCTGTGTAAGAGACCCACAAATATGCGTCAGCTTTCTGCTAGTACAGCATCCTGCTTGCTGCATTCATTGTAATTCCTGCTCATAACTCCTCAGATGTTTTGGCATACATAGTCCAAAAGGCATTTTATTTCACATTTAGGCAATGCAGTTCATGCAGAAGTCAGTTTTCAGTGAGTTCTCATCTATCTTTTCATAGTATTTATTCTAACTTCTTCTAGGAGAGTCAGAGCCCCTTCAACAGATTTGCTCTAGCACAAGAATATTTTCCTCTTCCTTTCTCACCGTGGGAATATCTCATTCATCTCATTGGAAGGTCCAGA